TCCCGCACACATTTATTTCTCACAGCAGTTCTGAAAGAAAGTTATGATCATCCCCATGTTTCTGAGGAGACAACGCAGGCTGGATGGAGGAGCATTCTACTCTGGTGTTTGGATGCCAGGGTTTGGATATTGTCTTTACTACTAAACACCCTCATGACCTCAGGCAAGTCGATCCCGGTTTTCTTGTCCTTAAAATGGGAATGACAATAGCACCTCCCTCACAGAGCTGTTGTGAACTCACTTAGCGGGGAGTTTAATCTCTGCAAAGCACACGTACTCACGCCGGGCACATACAACTCAGTCCACATCAGACCTGATGTGTGGGCAAGTCACTCTGTTAGGAAAGTATCACTTACCCAAGTTCACATAGCTGGAAAGTGACAGAACCAGAATCCAAACCCAGATATTTCTGACTTCAAAGCTGATAACTCTTTCTGTTACATAGCCCTGCAGAAGCTGAGGTTTTCTGTAAGATTTCGTGTACATATTTTGACTGCAGAGAAGTGTGGTAGAGTTACCGATAAAAGACTTTTGAAAAGAGAACTATCTGTACTAATACCCATTAGGATAAATTTTATTGGGGAAAAGGAATGTAAATATGATTTTAAGAAGAAAAAAGAATGATAAAGTTTTTAACATTAAGGAAAGATTTGTTCATTAGATAAATGGTTGTGACTATCAATCATTATGGTATTTCTATTCCATTTGATATATTTAGATACATTTCTTAAAGTAATATAACAGCTTGTACTTTAAGATGTTAATATTTATAATGTGCCAAAAATTACATCTTTTCTATTTTAACAAGATACTTTTTAACTTTTAGATGTCTAATAATATTCGTGATTCTTGTTTTTCCCCCACATTTTCTATATGCTATGCAAGCAAAACTGTTTGAAGATCTCTTTCCTAAACACAGACATATCCACCAGGCTACCTGCGTAAGAATACTCACAGAAACTGTCCATCAATAGGAGAACAGATAAAGAAATTTTGCAGACTATGGACTGTTATGCATTACTACATTACAATTATTACAACACAACGAAAATGCATAAACTGCAGCTTCCCACAAAAGTATTAATGAATCTCTCAAACTCACTAAGCCAAAGAAGCAAGACACAAAAAATTCCAATGGTAAGATTCACTTATGTTCATAACCAAGCAAAACTAAATTATATTGCTTAGGGATGTGTGATAAATTATGTCATTACTCCCAAGGATCCCCTCCCCTTTCCCCACAAGAGGATTACGAAACGCATGAGACTTGCACTACTTCCTTATTATTGAATTTACGTTTCCACCTTTTTGAGTCTGGGGCAAAGGCTTTGCCATGTGACATGCTTGAGCCAATTAAATGAGTAGACGTGAAGCTTGTCACATTCAACCAGAGGCTCCAAGAGGCATTGAGAATTTCTCGCTGTTCTCCTGCTGTTCGCTATTTCAAGGGGAACGGTCCTTCTCAATTTGGATTCTGGAATGAAGACACGAGGAGCATATCCTAGCCAAACCATAAACTCTCATCAGTACAAGAAATACAGGTTTGTTTTTGTAAGCCACTGAGATGTTGCTATTGTTCCTAATGACAGCAAAACTAATATGATGCAACGCAGGTGGTAAAACTTGAGGACACAAAAGTGAAGGCCCTGGAGAGGGAGGAAGTCATGATCCAGAAGAGGTAGGGGGGGAAGGCTTGGGGTCGTGGTTACGGAGGTGCATGCTGTGTAATTATCCAGTGAACTACATACAAATACTTGATGCACTTTTCCGTGCTCCTTTTCTCCAACTAAAAATGGAAGCAGGCAAAAGATAGAAACTTAAAAGAATTTGATTGTCCTTTGCCTCATTTCAAATGTAAATTACTCCCAATCCCTATTCTATTTAACATTACTTAATATTAAGCATTATCATCAAGTGATATTACTGAGATACTTGTCTAAGCAAATATAACTAAAAGTTACTCATCACGCTCATTTTCTTGCTGTGCATTAATTCATTCAATAAATATGTATTAAATGTCCCCTATGTAGAGATATGGATAAAACAACATAAACATAGCCCTCCCGGTCATGAAACTGATGTATATGTACATTTGTCTATATCAGGGAGCCGATGAGATTATGTATGAGAAAGATAAAGGGATTGGGGAGGATCTGAGGAAATCATCCCGGGAGAGGAATAAAGACGTGTGTTGATCATGCAACAGGAACCTGCTTGGCGGGCTGGAGGATCTGCACGGTGGTCAGTGGTAGTTGAGCTGTGTGTACGTGTTGTTCCAGGCTGGTGCGCTTTCAGTCAAGCAAATTCTGCTCCTGCTCCTTATATGGAAGCTACGGCGTCCCAGCAGCTTTGAGGCTCTCAATTGTTTGTAATTACCTGTACTCAGTAGTCTGACTCCCAGGTATCTCTTCCAAGTCCAAATGGCAGGGACAACACCAGATGAAAGTTGGGCAAGAGCTTTGAGCAGCATTCACTGGGAGATCTTCTGCATGTCTGAACTGCGTTCAGTGATACAAACAGCAGCAACCGGGGGGGGGGGGGAGAGGAAATCAATATAAACTGGGCACCCCTTCACTGAAACGCAAAAAATAAGAACTACTCTAAGGAGGGAATACTAGGTAGTAAGATTAGGTTTGTCAGGTAACTCTAAATGCCTGATAAGTTGCCTTAAAACCTAACTCTTAAAACCTAATACGCTCACCTTCAGAAAATCCCAAATGCCTAGACACTATAGATAAGATAGACTCCAAAAATACATAAAATGTTCAAAAGAATCAATGGCTCAAGCAGGGTGCTGGCCAGGTGACGCTGGGGAGCATAAGCAAAATGTGACAGAGGACTAGCTGTGCAAGAAAGATTTATGCTCCTCGCCCCATCTCATAGTTGTTTCTGAGAAGTGACCGCCCAAGAGAACATCGTCCTTCCCCGATGCCCCTTGCACCTCTGAATGGTCCTGCAATTAGTTCTCACCCCTGGAATCTATGACTCGCTGGTTATGTGACACTTCTGGGCCAAGCTAATTAAGCAGGTACGATTTCTCCGCTTTTCCCAACCCTCATCAGCCAGGTTGAAGGGCTGTGAGCCCCGGGATGGCCGTCCTAGCACCTGGGTCCTTCAGTCACACCATGTGGAAAGCGGTCTGAACACCATCCGGGCTCCTTGCAAGAGCAAGAAATGAACTCTTTATTTTCTTGAGCTACTCAGACTTTGATGTTCACCTATTACAACAGTTGGTGTCATTTTAATTAATAAAGTACTTGAGCTCTCAAATGCTGAACTGAGAGCAACAATCAGGTAGCAATCAGCCTCTCCCAACAGAAGAGCATTTGTAAACTTTTAAGAGGTGAACAGGACTCCCACTCAGTATTATAGTCTCCGTCTATACAGAAAAGTGCAACAGGGAGTTTTTTGTTTTGTTTTGTTTTGTTTAAGATTTTTAGGGATCTAGAGTGTGCGCAGTCTTTTTTTTTTTTTTTTTTAGTTTATTTATTTATTTATTTAGATGGTGAGAGAGTGTGCACAGAGAGGAGGGAGTGGGAGAGGGAGAAGGCTTCCCTTGGAGCAGGGACCCCAATGCGGGGCTGGATCCCAGGACCCTGGGATCACGACCTGAGCCTAAGGTAGATGCTTCCCCGACTGAGCCGCCCAGGCGCCCCCACAGTTGGGGGGGGGGGATCTTAAAAGCAGCAGCGGAGGCTGCAGCAATGGGACAAGCCCTAAGCTTCTCAAACTCACACAACCTGGGGGCCTCTTCTAATAGGACCTAGTTCCCTCTAAGCCCCAATGACCTTGTTTTGAACCCCTTGGAGCATGTGAAAATCCTCCTCCTCCAGACCCACAGCCATCAGACCCCTTCCTGCCTTTTGTACTCACCTCCTTTCCCAGGTAGGTTATAGCCCTTCTGAGCCTACAAGGGAGTGGGGCCAAGGGCGCGGACGTGGTGGCCTTTAGAAGGAGCAGAGACTTCTGTCTCAGGCATCCAGTGCTGATCAGGACCTTTACTTTTCTCCTCCCGGCTGCTGGTTTCCAACAACAGATGCACCAGGGGGATGTGTATCAACTACACACATCCCAAAAGGGAAAGGCCTCTTTGCTACCCTCAAGTGGGAAGGAAAGGCCCAGCTGAGAAGCTACTTTAAGCTTGAGGTCTCTTCATATAGAGCAGGGCACACCTATTAAAGTAAGTTTTCCTTCTGTAGGGATAACTCATTAATCAGGCGACGGTTTACTGCGCCCCGAATCCTTGCTTTAACCTACCACCTGGAGAGTAGGAAGGTGAAAGAGTACAAGGGCAAATGTCTAAAGATCAAAGTTCTGACGCAGGGCTGCCCAGGTTTGGAGAAAGCAAAAGCAAATAGCTGACCTCTTTTATCATCCCAGATAACATACTTAGGTTTAAAAAAAAAAAAGACCCTCTCAACTCAGCTGATTCTGTACCCTTGAAGGAGTATTTCTACTGTTTTGGTTGTCTTGAGTTCCCCTGGTAAACGTTCTAGATCTTTTTAGAAACTCCCCTCTCTTCTGATATAAAAAGGAAAAGTGAAATTTCACCAACTCCGTAGGTTCAGTGCAGCCCCTCCGGCCAGATGTGAGAACCTCAGCCAAGCCAGCTCATCTGCCCACCCGGGTAGAAGCTCAGCAAACTGCACTTTGAGACGGACGCAGCTGTATTTCTGACCCATCTCTTCATGAGCTACACGTGCACCTCGAGGTTGTTAAAAGTCAGGTCCATGTTGTGGTTTCCTTGTAAGCCCTTTACGCATCGATCTCCTCCTCCAGGCACTATCCCTCGGCTTTCTTAGGACCACAAGCTGCGTCTAGAACAGAAGCGCTGCGTTTGCCACGACTGAGCAGTCTAAGTGGGCTGCAAAGGAAAGAAGAGTCCGCTCTAACATCACCAGGGGCTCAAGAAAGAAAGAAAACGGCAGGACTCACAAAGGAAGAAGAGCGTCAACTGCAAAGCAACCCCCCCGGTTTGGCCACATTATAAAGACAAGGACTTCATTCATCATCAGTATTTATTAGGCGCCTATGACGCGCAGGGCACTGTGCTAGGCGCTGGGCAAGATACAAAGAGAAATCCAACAAGACTGCCCTCAAAGAGCTTACAGTCTAGAAGAGCATTCAGTGTCTGGAGAAGATATTTTAGATGGAAAGCACCTCCCCCCACCCCCACCCCACAAAAAGGAAAAGAAAAGAAAAAAAAATTAAGTTTACTAGACTTGGTTTCATCCATTTTCTTTTAGCTCAGCAGCTTCACATAAAAAGCATAAATCTGAAAGTCTTTTAAAATGCATACTTTTACTCGTAAACAAAATTCATTTTCATTAGAAAAAAATGCTGTTTATTGCAATTAAGAAAATCCTCAAACATCTCTTCAGTATTTTCATGGATTTTTTCTTATGAATCTGTTATTTGTGAAGTAAACAATTTCCCAAATTGCATCGAAACACGCAACAACTTTCTGAAACCGATCTCTTTAAACCACTGGCAGTCACAGATAATGCCCACAGGCTCTCTGCTAAAAGGAAAGCTCCTGAAAGGAATGTGTTGTTTACTACCAAAGGTCACAGCTTATGGCAGTTCCCCCTACACCCATTTCATGTCAAATTCAAAATATTGTAAAATAGCACCTCCAATAACCTACACCTCCAAGACCCAAAGTTTTAGATCATTACTACGTTTTAGATAGAAGAGTGAAAAACAATGTTCGTTATAACCTTAAAGCCCATCTCTTAGTGCTATTACGAGGCTGGCCAGACCCCATCAAAGAACTGGAAAACAATTCAAAAAAGGAAATTCGAAATCACCCACTTCCCTATTACACCCTTAGGAATTTCTGAAGTTTTCTATTATTTGCCTTGAAGCATAAAGAAACCAAGCGTCATCAATTGGGGAAATAAAAAATACTGACAGAGCTGCTTGTCTAGGTTAACCTGCTAGAGGAAAAGGAGTAGGTGAGCACATTTAAGATTAGTTCATTTCTCACCGTAAGTATTTTAGGTATCTTGCAATTGTTCTCCTTTCCTAGTATCCTGGGAATGTCTGGGCTCAGACATTTCTAATGCTACTTAGGGTTCCGGAAGTCTGAAGCCTTGGGTCTGTGTGGAGACTCTGCAAGACTTCTTGAAAACACTGACACTAAAGGTAGATGATATGCTTATCAAACTGAACACGAGGCCATCTGTTTTCATGTAGAATCATGGTCAACCAACAAAGCTGTGTGCACCCAAAAATGAGTTCCTGAGACAGAGGTTTCTTATTCCCATGTTGGAGCATTCACGTCCTGAGCAGTTTTCTGAAGTTGAGTAAAAAAAAAACAAACAACTATGTAACCATTGTGCTAGTTGGGCCTTTCTACTCCTCTTCCTCACCCAACTCAAAAAAACGGGTGGGCTTGTCAGGTAAACGTTAACTCAAGTAAATGTCAACATTCATCTCTAGCAAACTGACGGATCCGCTCACCACCCGCACCCCATCAGGTGCATGCCTTCCTGAATGCACGTACCCAATTTTTCAGTTTTGACATCTCCAGAGACTAAGTTTCCATGTGTCATATTTGTACAAAGTTAAATGTTCTGGGTATAAAATCTAACAGAGATAAAGTCAAATCAGCACGCAACAGTTATGTGTTAGTCTTTCGGTCACCTTCTTGCCCTCCCGTTACCAAGGTGCTTTTCTGTTCAATCTCTCTGCTGGACAGATACCATGAATTTTATAGACTTGTGTGGTATAGAAGAACCACTATTTAAGTTAGTGAGTCCGACTCTGTCATTTTACAGATAAAGAAACCAAGACCCTGAACAGTTTAATGAAAAGCTGGGAGCCAAACCCAGGCTGGTATTCACGATACGGCAGCTTTGACCTTTGACAGAAACACATGCTCTCACATACAATAGCTGTTAAAACCAACGTAATTAAATGGTGATGTATTTCCAATGAGGTAAATACAACAACTGTTAGCTTAAACCTATTCTTGGAAAACATTAGCCCTTTTTGGTTACTGCTGATAGTGTAACTAGAGTGTTTGGTCTTACTTTTAAGGGTAATTGATTTGTAGTTGCTTCCTTGAGGATGTTTATTTGCTCAGTGTAGAAAAAAAATCACGTTAAATTTGATCATATATTCAACCATGTATTATTCTGCATTTAATCTCTAAGTCATTTCTACATACATCTGGATTCTCTTACTTTATTAACATATGTAAAATTAATGTATGCAGAGAAGGAAATGAGATATTATCTCTACGTAAGTTGTTGGCAGCTTGAGGGTGTCCAGGGTAACATAAAACAGAATGAAAATTGTAAGTAAATTTTGTTTAGTCTGTAATCTGAGCTACAAGAGAAAGGATAAGCATAGAGAATCTGAGTGAAGTTTTAACTCCCTTCCTTGCTAGCTATGCAACCTCAAAGCAATTCAATAAATTTCCAGGTTTCAGTTTCTTCATCTGTAAAGAGCTAACATTTGTACTACTTACCTCATTAGATTATCAGGGGTAACACACAGTAAAATATAGGAGAGTGCTTTTAAGTGGAAAAGCGCACCAAGTAAGATTACTATTACCCAATAATTATTAAAATGTGGACCTACAGAAAATTTTAAATAATTACCACTCAGTGGTACTAGGCATGCTCACGAGAACAAACATAACTCAGAAGGTAAACCATGCAAACATTTTCAACTTTCAATGGCAATGCTAAAAATTCACACAAAGATATAATACAAAGGAACATTTTTAGAGAAAGCACTGAGACACACGTATTTGGTTGACTTAATAGACTTTAAAATGAGTTAAAATGATTTCTAGCATATAAAGAGGTATTTAGTCTTTAAGTGGAGAAAGTTGCGAGTCACCTGTAAGAAAAACAAGCATAATGGGGCATTCCCAAGACAAATGGAATAAAATTCCATCACTTTTGGCTATTTTGTAAACCAGGTGTCTTACAAATAACCATTTTAATTTTTCCAGTAATGAGAGATACCCAAAAAGAGAATGTCCACTTCTGAATCACACCCAATGTGAACTTGCATGAATGCAAGGCCTAAAATACAGTTCTTATAACTCCACAGGCACCTAAAAGTTTTAACCACTCTTCATGCTCACTGTATATTCCATAAGGAATAATGGACATATAGGGAATACCTCATAAATTTTTTACAAATCTTTATTATGTAGTTGTCTTATTTTTATAATACTCCACTCTGGCGGCCTTTTTTGTGTGTGTTTTGCTTGTAAAATTAAGTAGCATATTAACCTTTCCCTTCAAATATGCCTTTGATATTAGTTCTTATACCACCCCCCCAAAAAAGAAAAGTACCAACCAAATGAAGATGCAAGGGAAGAGAAAAACGAGATATGATTCATTAAGTATAAAAATATGTTGTTTCAAATTCAGAATAATTTAATAACTCTTCGTTATTTCATATGTATCTGGAAATGGGACAGATACGTGACCTGATCCTGTCACAAGAGGTAGAATTCCAGCATTTGGTACAACGTTCCAAGATAGGGTTAAAGTGACATTCCTGTTTCCCCTATAAAAAGACAGAATAAACATGTTTATTAGATGTCAGGAGAAAACATTTTTAGTTCAATAAAAACATTTTAACTCAAGCACCGGGGTTCAAATACTTCATAACCAGCTATTTGTAACCGGAATCCTAATCTACCAATAGAAGTCCTCTCAAGTCTTTTGTAATGCAGGCATCCCATAATGACCTATCTGAACTCACTCACAGTGACAGTTATTAGAGCTATGGGCCAAAAAGCTTAAGTGAGTAAAACAGAGAGAGAATACAGAAAGAGATCTGAGCTAGCTATCAGAAGGCACTGACTGGAAATCGAATTCTCTCATTATCTAGACCGTGAACAAATCCTCTCTCATGGCCGCCAATTTTTCATCTGCAAAACCAGAGGTTTGGTTACAACAGCTCTCCCCTAAGTTCCTTTCCAGTGTTTACTCACAGAGCTTAGGAGCTACAATGACCCAAAATCCCAGTTATTCTAAGTCCTTCGCTGTGCATGAAAGGAAATGGGGATTCAGAGAAGTTACGCACAGCTGGAATCCTCAGCGTCCACTCCTACACAGACGCGCTCTTTCCTCCCAAAGGGCGCCCTGACTACTTCTCCCATTCCAGAACGAGCCCCTTGCCAACGGCAGTCCTCCCTCCAGGTGGGCAAGCCCAGGCCCCCTGCATACGTCACAGTGGAAGCAGCTAAAGGCCTTTCTCAGTGGGACCGGGCCATTTCACTTACTGCGAGAGAACGGAACGCTCATCTTAGACCCGTGTCTCTGGCACTGTTTCTACCCAATCTTTCCAGGTCAGATCTGTATTTCTTCTCTCTCAACTTACCCCTTTTTACCCTCTAATCACTTTCTTTAAAACAAAAACCACAAAGAATGACAAAGAATTGCTCACTTGAGGCCATTTCCATCGTCAAAGAAAAAATATTTTGTTTTCATATCTTTCAACAGCAGCTTTGGATTATCACCTCGCAGAACAATCTTGTCCCAAAGGACAACCTGGTTCAGAGCCTACATTAAAATGAAAATTAATTAGATAACTCATCAGAAATTGTATCTTTGTCACTTAAATTAAAAGCAGTGCTAGGCAAATAGTTTAATTTACATTAATGAATATAAATTTTGAGGGAACTGCTAAAATAAAAGCATACAAAATAATAACAAGTGGATAGATACAAGAAGTTGAACTTTTCTGGGACAAAAGATGATTTCCCTAAAGGAAATCATTGCTTTTGCTAAAGCAACTGTATTACTTAGGGCCCTCAAAGCTTACTAAAAGGTTTTAGACCCATGTGCACTCCAGAGTGAGGCCCTTGGAGAAACAGAAGGGATTACAATCCCCAGAAGGAAAGAAAGCATTCTCCTAAATTCTCTGTAAAACTTCTGAGACCTTCTGCATAGTGTCAGAGAAACTGAGACAACCATTCCTGTTCCATCACGCTGTTGACACAGGTCTCTGCCGCCAGATGAGGTCATGAATATTTATGTATCTCCAAGGCCTTTAAATTATCAAGGAATCACTAAAGACATGAAGCCTTCTAAATATGTTTCCTTTACGTTACATTGCATCATTGTTTTATTATGGAACATTCTAGAAGTCACTTCTTTTACTCCGCTATTTTGACATATCAAAAACAAGTTCTGTTTGGAAAATGAGGGGCATAAAATGGAGAGAAAACACATTTGTGACCACTATTAATCCTAATAAATCTGTTCTTATTAAGCTATCATCCATTATTACTACCCTGTGAGGCCAGTTGCTCAGCGTGTGGTGACTACATTTGCTGAAAAGAAACGTGAACGTTATTTCTACGAAGGTTCAAATCTTCACCATAAAGCCTCTTTCTAACATTAAACAGAAACATCGAGAGGGAAGAACATAGAATCTAAGATATGCCAAAGTAAAATGACTTTTTATGTACATTTATTCATTCACCGAAGCAATGATCTGTCAAGTTCCAAGTTGTATTAACTTACTAGTCACACTGGGGTAAACCAGAATTATGAATAAAATTTAGGTATACCTGTTGCCAAGAAGGTGACATATTAATTTGAATAATTTGCTGAGACTTGTAGAATGGTATCTGTGTATACAGTCATTACTCTTACCTTCAGAATAGCTTTTTCTCTATGTTCTTTCTAACATTTTGTTGATTCTCAAGGGCAGGGATCGAAACTTACTCAACCCAATAATCCCAGTGCCTAACAAAATATTTGGCATAAAAGACACGCTCAAAATAAATGTAAAATGAATTGAAGTACCAAAAATTCCAGTTAACAATCAAGCCAATCAACAGATAAAGCTGATTAATTTTTCATCCCTTGAAAGTGAATAGAGTTCCAATAAAATACAGAAGTAGGCTCATCTCTATCTACAAGTTATCTCTAGACCATGCTGATAACAAACATGAGGGTGACTTTAAATAAAAACAACACAGAAACACATTTTAATTCCATGGATTTCACCTTCCTATTTTAATTCATTTATCACACTCATTCACTTAACACTTTCAAGGGATTTCTGTTTTAGCGACATTCTACTTAAGTATCTCAATCCTTACTCTCATCTGCAACAAAAGCTCTCAATCAGACTGGACCAATAAATTTCAATGACAAATTAATAATTTTAAGTGTTTTAATCTAACAGTTTAGTAGCTTTTAATTACAAAATTTCTGATAAACTCTAGTTTATGATTAAAAAGACTACTTTTAAGTCCTAAAATTTGTGAATCCCATACAACTCCAAAGCAAAGGAAAGTACTTCTCAACAGATGGAGATGTTAATTGTAGATATATGGTTTAGTAAGCCTATCAAAACAGCTCACATCAAAAGAAAAATACAAATATTTAGGCGGATTTTAAAATAATCTGACAGGATTCAAAAATCTGTTATCTTTCCAGTTTTTGATTACATATATGGGTAATGAGAGTTGTAAACACAGGTCACAGATTTTGCTGATCCAAATACCTTGCCATCTTTTCTCCAATCAAAGCTGTGGAAGGACTACTTTAGTTTAAAGAATCCCACTCCCATGCAGCAACTCCACATCCCCATTTCTTAGTAGACTCATAATTCAACAACAGCCTTTCCGATCTTATCACTGGAAATGGTCTCCAAAGATTTCTGAGCACAAACCCCAAAATACGCACTTCTATTTATAAATTATGTGCGTAGTACACATTACTATTGTCATTAGATGATATATCATCACTGACAGTGAATGTAAATTTGCATTTCAAATAATACTCTTGACCAATGTTGCATTTTCTCAGCCAACTTTTTCTTAGATCTTCCTTTCTCCAATCCCTTACTGTGGCTGAGCAGCTGTGGAGGGCACACACCTCCGCACCTCGGCTCCGCTGCCCTCCTGCTGCTTACACGTGGTTGAACCATTCGCATTATTTTCAATGTGTCATTTCTTTGCAGGAATCTTTTTAAGCCGTTTTTTCCATTTTGTGAGGATTCGTTTATTTAAAACTAGGTAACATCACCCACTGAACTGAATTACCCTGCACAACTTTCCAAAATGCTGAACTTGAATGAATAAATGCATGCCGAATGGTCAACCTTGTGCCGTGCAGAATTCCTCCTCTTAACCCAGAGAATCTGCACGTTGTCCGAGACATGAGACCGTCTGACTATGGGACTGAGGGTATCAACACCAGTCCATATTGCAAGTATTCATAAAGTTTAACTTCTTCCCCTTTTATTTTAAACACCGAAATATACAGCTAGCCCTCTCGTTTTCAGTATGACATGTCAGGAGCTTGGAAGCTGCCGCTCCATCTTAACATCAAGTAAAAAGCTAACAAACTGAAAAACTGGCAACTCTCACTAGCTCTCTAAGAGAAGAAAGAGTAACTCCTAATGATTTTCTTTATATACCTATGGATTACCCTGCATGCACCCCATTCTGGGGACCACAATACTAGAGGGCTACAGAAACAAACAAACAAAAGAGGCTACCAATCAAAGGAGATGTTTTCTTAGTAGTCACCTCTCCGGAGGCTTGTGATTTTTACCAAACTACTCACGTCAGATATTTTGAATATATAAGATTTATGCCCTTTCATAAAGAATGAGATTTTAAAGGTCTATTAAAATATATCTATTTATCTATATATACTTACATTATTTTTTGTTGAATATTCTGCTGATAAATAAAGAAACAACTGCTTAACATTCCAATCAAATATATTCTCTAGATGTAAACTAATTAAGGAATATATAAATCATAAAGCAGCATACAACTTTTAAACCAATCTTATTCTTAATTATCCACAGCAATACCGATACTAAAATAGAAAAAAAAAAAAAAAAGAGAGGTGGCCCAGAAACATACTGAGACACTAATTTAATAAAAATATATAAAAGACAAATACGTTATAAAATCCAGCTCATTTCAAAATAAAAAAAAACATCAGTGAGATTCTTAGCATCATCCCCTGCGTCACTAACCATGATTTAATAAGAAAATAACAGAGCAATACAAACTTTAGCTTTCTGTAACATTAACTAGGTCTAAAAGAAAGAGGATTTTATCTTTCAAGCACATTCAATTCCATGGAAGTTCTAAAGTATAACCAATCATCACAATTTACATTTACTGATAGGCAAACATGAACCAGCTCATGTAATTAAACCAAGTATAATAAATTGTTCACACTGCTTTTGGACACACGCCAGTAGAGATCAAAATGTCTCAGTCCACGAAGTGCTTTGGTAAGAATATGCAGCTGAACATCAATTTGATTTCATCAGCTTACCAGAGTGAAAAAAAAATTCACAAGGATTAATTACAAGACCCATGTCACTGCAAAATGAACTGAGTTAGTGTTTGGATTTTATTAAATATTACATGTAAATGGCTAAGTCATTTTATTACACGCATTTACATATACTGATAGCAACATGCTCATTATATTCTGCTTTTAGAGATGAGCATCTACTAAGAATCACTGTTGTAGAATTGAGAAGTCTATGAGAACTCTTTATAAAAACAGGCCCCATTTCAAGTTTTAGCAGCAGCATTACAAAATCCGACTAAACTATAAATGATGAGATTGAGAAATATAAATACAGTAGTTGAGATGTCAGGAAATTTCACTATAATTCTCCAGATAACGTTACTACATCCATAAGAGATCCAAACTCCCTCCTACTAGATTGTTTTAAAACGAGACGAAGACTTAAAAGCAGACATACCAAGTTTCCCATAGGACTCTTCTGACAGTTACACTCTATTTCCTAAAAAAGTACCTAGAGAACTAATTTCTATTCTACTTCTAAACCCAACACTTTATTTCTAAAAAAATCAAGTTAAAGTAATTCCATGGCCGTAAAGAGCCGTATCAGGTAAACTCCCCGGGTTCGTCATCTGCTTCAACTGTTCTGGATAGCTGCCTTCCAGAAGTTCCGACACTGCAATCACCACCGCCAATTTTAATCCTGAGGTCTTAAAAAGGCAGGTGTGGTCAGACTAGACATGGCAGGGAACAACGCTGCCAAGACCTTAATCTAAGACCCTAAAAGAAGATTAAATTGGCCAAAATGGACAGAGTTATCAAACGGTGGAAACTCAAGATAAAGAGAAAATATTAAATCATCCCCATTTTAAAGCACCTCTTTTAAATGTTAAGATTTCTCTGACTCTTATTATAAAAGTACTTATAAAAAAACTATGATGGCAAAATTCTAGTATGGTTTACCAATAATCATTCTGATAATGACCTTCTAAACCTTAACAGATGCCAATTCACTTTTTTAACATATGTTTCTCTCTGCTATCATAAAATATAGATATATTACTTGGGATTGTACATGAAATATTCGATCTAGGAAGGCTGAGCACTGGTAACATTTTTCTTTCTATAATCCAAATGACCTGATTTTATTTTTTTCTTCCTGAAATATAGATTCAAACTCTCTTAAAGCTTTCAATCTATTTAACGTTTCTGTGAAAAATTTAAAGTTGGTTCAGAAAATAACTGAAAAATCCATAAATAAATTTTCTCAAGGTGTGAATGAGGAGGTATTAAGACTATTTTACCCGTGAAGACATAGGTATAGAAACTTCTAAAGTTTGGTTGATTCGGGGGAAAATCAGACTCACTGCCCCTGCCCAAAATCACTAAACAACGTGTCTATCATTATACCACTACAGAGAAAGCAACAAAGTATTTTCTTAAAGGATATCAGCAGTTATATCAAAGGTAATGAATCCCAGATCACTTCTTTCTCTAGGTCCAGTGAAGTCTTCTACATTTTTTCTAAAAATAAAGATAAAAGTTTTACCATCCTTCAAACGTAACGGCACACGCAATTCACATAATCCCTTAGAGTGAAAGAAAGGATGTAGTTGGAGGCACAGGTGGAAGGGCAATCCCACAAAGAAACAAGTAAAAATCAGAGAAACTTGTAAGTGTGAAAAGAGGATAAAAAGTTTAATCCGATATAAAATTAGGTCTGTAGCTATACGCATAACCCTTAAAAGAGAATCCCTAGCAAAATGGGGGGAGGGGGGCGGGGAGCGTGAAAACTGCTCAAAGGGAGTGTGAACACTCGCTGCAAAGCGATTTGGTAGCAGGGGCAGAAGGTTACAGACGACTACAGGTGGTGTGGGAAAACGAAGCCAAGATGATAAGCACTGCTATTTATTTACTGAGTGCTTACGGTGTGTCTGGGTCAGGTCCAACAAGGCCCTTTTCATAATTATCTCCAATAATCCTCACAACAAGCCTACGAGCTGGGCATTATTTCCATTCTACACAAGAGGAAGTTAAGGCCCAGGACGGTAAGAAACTTGCTCAAGACTGACAACAGCCGACAGTGCCCGTGTCTATTTGAATTTAAAAGCCAGTTTCTAGCAAAAAGCAATGGGGGGGGGGGGAGGGGGGGCGTTTGGAAGTAGGTCTTCACAACAGAGGTAGCTATTCGACGACTGGCTTGGACAAAGAAATCAAGAAAACTAACGCTGAAGAACGAAAGTGATCTTGATGCAAGAGGGAACAGAGAAGCTGTGAGAACCGGGAAGGGAAAAAAAAAAAGTGCTAGCGAAGAAAAACTATCAAGGAAAAATAAAACAGGCATCAACGAAATGACAACGTCATTCTGAAATCCCATTTCGGGCACTTTCGCAGACTTCTCCCAGCGCTGACTCTCCAAAAACGCCCAAGGCGCCGTACCCGAGAGCGAGGATGCCGCACGCTCGGAGCGCATCCCACCCTCTCTCGCCAACTTCCACGCGGCTGCGAGCACGAGCCGCCCAGGGAGGAGGCGGGACAAGAACCGGCGCGGGCACGTGCCACGGGGCCCGGAGCGGCTGTACACGGCACAGGCGAGCCGGCGGCCCGGGGCCCGGGGCCCGGGGCCCGGGCGGCGGGCGGGCGGGCGGCGGCGGCGGCGCGGCTCTGCTGCTGTGTTGCTCCCTCATTGGCCAGGCGTGGGCGGGGGAAGTGAGGAACAGGAAGCAAGCGGAGGCACGGGCCCGAGTAACACTCAAAACTGAAATTTAAGAGCAAGCCCGGGAATCCGCGGTGCAGGGGCGGGAGCTCGAGGGGAAGCCGAGAAGCCCGGGCGTCCGCCCTCGGGGGGCGACGGCCGCTCGGGAGCGGGGGCCCGGGGCCGGCGCGGACGCCCTGCCGCGGCCCCCGGCGCGCCGGCCGGCCTCGGCGCCCACCCCGGCCCGGCCCAGGCGCCCGCCCCGCCGGCCGGGCCTCGGCCCCACTCACAGCATGATCCGCGAGACGTGCAGCCGCACCGGGACGCTCCTGTCTTTGAAGGCGGTGGTGATGAAGCAGCCGAAGGTGAGCGCCGCCATCACGCTCAGCGAGAAGGCGAACAGCGAGTTCGCCCGCGACAGCACCGTGTTCATCGCTACCGTCTCCCCCGAGCCCCGTTCCGCACGCACACCCGGGACCCCGTTCCGGCCGCGGACCGGCTCCCTGCGATCCGCGCCGCCTGCGCCGCGCGCGTTCCGGGAGCGCGCGCCGCCGCGGCCCCGCCTCCTTTCCGGTTCTCCGACGCGGGCCAGCGCGCGCGCGTACCCGCCTCCCGGGACACACCCACCCCCGCGGCCTATCGCCGCCACCAATCAGCGACGAGCAAGGAGGGGCGGGGTTTCTCCACGGAGGACGGGCTCCCTGTCCTCGCTGCCTCTCCTCCCAGCCCCTTGGCTCGCCCAGCCTCCTTCTTGGTCCTTGGGCCTGGTGGTCAGCCCTGAGGCTTCCGAGCGCTACTGTTTTATTAATTTGCGCTGAAACCCAGCAGCAGGGCAAGGTAGTTTGGAATGTATTCTGAGGCGTCGCGTTTGGAAGCAGCGCCTCACAAAACTCTTGCCCTTTGTCAAATCTGGTCAAAGTTCGAACAGATTTTTGGAGGGTATGGACATGGAGAAAGAGAGGACATCCCAGCTCCCCAAAGCACTTTGCCTTTACTTTCCACGTCCAACCTTAGTCCAGTTCCTAGTAATGCTTTGCCTTCCAACTGCAGACTAAGCTTATTTTAAAATTGATGTTACCAATTTTAAATATTTGCGTTTAATGGGGTATTTCCAATAACTAAAAGAATGGCTTCGCTGGGTTCTTAGGATCAAAGGAGATAATTACTGTGGAATTGCTCTACAGCACCCTAGAAAATTTTTTAATTAGCAAGGCATCAATACATAACGGCCCTGCTTCCTGGCTTTGCACTCTGGTTCCCCATTCCCAGGCCCTCCTGTCTCAGATTTGCTTTTTGAATCTGGTCATTCAGACCACTGTCTTTGGTCCTGCGTGCACTTGACTGTTTGCCTGCATGACGAGTTAGCTCATTTGATGACTGCTGCCTACTCCTCATGACATGCCAGACGAGTTTATTGAGCATCCTTGAGGGGATATCAGAAATTACACCAGAGACCATTGGTTCCTGAGGATCTGTACCACACCCTCCCAAGGAAAATGAAGATCGAGGGGGCCCTTCCCTGTTCCTTAGACAATCAAAGACATCCAAATTTGCTGGGATTCTTTGAACAGTTTAGGCAGTTAATGTCCAGCTTCTCTGCTCACATCACCTAGGTGCTATGCTTCCAGGAAAGTGAGAGGCTGCTAGTGAAGCTTTTGGCATTTTCTTAGTTGAAGAACCTAATCATCTTTGCTCTTTCTGGCCTCCTCCAGTTCACTCAGAAATGCACTGTTGGAACTGTATCTCGCACATGCCGTGGAACTGTATCTCATACATGCCATGGTAAACATCTAGTCACTGGAGAACCCACAGACGTCCCAGGCATCCTGGTGCCAGCTGAGCAATCAGCCTCAAAGTTGGCTTTGGGGAATTACCCTGTTACAATATATTCAGACCACTGAAGCCCCAGGGTAAGTAAGATCTGAAAATTCAGACCATGCCTGGTGAGGTTTATTACCTTCCTTAACTCATTTGAGTAATCCTTATTATAGAAAAGTTTCTAGATACCCATTGGCTAATGAAGCCAGACATATCTAGAATGGAAATAAAATGGGAAAATAGTTATGGGAACTGTGTACAAGGGTTAATATAACAGGTCTGAGACTTCTATCCTTAGAAGTACCTGCTTGCAAGATTTGCCCTTTGGCATCCTGTCTTTGAAGGTGGTGATGAAGCAGCCAAAGGTGAGCTCCATCATCACACTCAGCCAGAAGGCAAACAGCGAGTTTGCCTGAGATAGAGCTGTGTTCATAGCCACCATCTCCCTGGAGCCCCTAGGAAATTGGCTGGTAAATAGTTCCCTGCACTGATATAAAATGTTTCCTAAATGATAAAAGTGACTCACTGCACCTGAACTGTTTATTGAAACAATGTGGTTTATGCCAAACACCTGCTTTCCTTCTGGAAGTTTGGAATGGCGGAGGGGGTCTACATGACCCTTCCCAAGTGAAAACCCTTGGCATTGAGTCTAATGTTTCCTAGGAATTAAGCACATACTCAGTGACTCTACTGGGAGAGGAGTCTTTGAAGCTTCTGCCTGGTTTCCTCCAGACTTCTTCCCGTGCATGTTTTCCCTTTACTGATTTCACTTTGCAATCCTTTTACTGCAATAAACCTTGGCTGTGGGTATGACAGTATATTAAGTCATACATATATATGAGTCCATGGGTCCTGTGAGTCCTTACATAGCAAATCACCAAACCTAAGGGGGTCTTGGGGAACCCCAACACAAGGACTATCTCCCATTTCATAAATTTTAATATAAAAATGACCTTAAGGATTTCTACCAAAATCTAAGAAAACTTGACCCATTCTATTCTGTAAGGGAAGGAGTAGTAGGAGTAGTAATTTTTTTTTTTTTTATCCTAAGTCTTATGAATGTGCCCAGTGTTTTGTTCAGGATGCTGTACTACTCACACGTTTTGTCCTATCATGCTTTGCCTGGTCTTCAGATTTCTTCCCCCCCCCCCCTTCAGATTCCCTCCTTCCGTCCTCCCCTTGGTTCCCAGTGCCTGTGGCAGGCCCTATTTGTGCTGTTAACTCATGTGGACACATTTCTTTTGGTTCCTGACCTTGAGTTACCTACTTAAGCTTGGTCTTTGCAGTCTTCTGCTTTTACACACGTCCACAGCACAGGATGGGAAGATGTTTTCACTACTTGTTCTTAATCATTGAGCCATTCAGTGTCTTTATCCGCTCATCTGACCTCCCTATAGGGGGAACAAATCAGGCAAAATCCGTTATCTCAGTCAAGTACATTCCTTGTGTGGATTTATTACTACTTTCGTGTTCCTCACTTATATATATAAGCTGAAAAGAGCTTAAAATCAACATATAACAGAAGGCTAGAAAACTCTGAGTAATACCAAAAATTGCTTTTTTTCTGAGAATTTTTTTAACTACTGAGAATACCTGAAAAGTTAAAAACCCATATGCAACTCTATTATTCCATCTTAGTAACTTACAAAAAAGGTATAAGAAAACATCTGAATTCTTCGTATCCTTACTTTGAAAGGTCTATTCTGAAGGGGGAAAAAATGTTCCAAGAGAATGTACTAGATTTTAACTCCTGGATGCTAGAATATGTTTAAATTTTTTGCACTATTACATTTCTGTGAATCCTTATATTGGAAGGAAGTAAGAAGTACCATTCAAGTGATGTGAATATACAGCTAAAACTGAAATTCTTTTTTTTTTTAAAGATTTTATTTATTTATTTGAGACCGAGAGAATGAGAGAGACAGAGAGCACATGAGAGGGGGGAGGGTCAGAGGGAGAAGCAGACTCCCCGCCGAGCAGGGAGCCCGATGCCGGACTCGATCCAGGGACTCCGGGATTATGACCTGAGCCGAAGGCAGACGCTTAACCATCTGAGCCACCCAGGCACCCTGTTGATAAGCTTTCTTACCGAGGTCAGGATTGACCAAACAGCTGCAGAACTGAACCTGTAGGTTATAGGGCAGGAGGTGGGGGGAGGGGTCATCCGTTATTGCCATAAGCAGCTTGGAAACAGAGGACCAGAAGGAGAAGATATGGGGAGCAGGAGGGCTGACATTAAATACCTATTTTGATTTTCTGTTTTAAAACAAAATATCCATGACTATGTGAGGTCAATGAATCAAATCTCAAAACCTTTTTATAGAAGGATAATTACTAAAAAATACTCATACAAATAAAAAATGAGTTGTTTTAACTCAGTTATTCTGTGGACTTTATCAAATGTTTGAAACTTTTCAATTTACTCACGAATATAATATTTAAGTTACTCTCTAATCATACGGCAAGTACTATCTTAATGCAAAAGATGATTTTGAAAATTTTCAAATTCAAATAATGTCCTATTATTGAATTATTCCAACCACTCATTCTGTAGAACATAGAGCAACCTGTAGTACAGATCTTTTCCCATTGATTAAACACATTTTGCTGCTTGCATTCTATAAACTACCTATCGTAACACCTGAATCACATAGACACTCAATAAAAGATAGCTATTCATAGTTGCACTGCTAAAAGTCAGTTTTATCTAAACATACATCTCAAAAGTAAAGAACGTTTGCTTTCAATTTCATGGTTATACTTTCTCCCCAAGCTTTTATGTAAAAATCACATTTCGATAGAACAGAGCATTGAGTTAAACATCGATCAACAATGAATGCCACAGGTGTTATGAACAAGTGAGTGTACGAAGCAGATAGAAGATGTTAGAGCTACATTTCAGAATGAACTGTAAACTACTTCGGAGATCACCTGTAAATAGAAACCTGTTGTTTAATTTATTGGCTATTACCCGAAGTAGAAGAAAGACAGAAGATGGCGGGGGGGGGGGGGAGTAGAAGATAGAGCACTCATCCAGATTCACGCCCTCCGGAGGAAAGCCACGTATCTAAAAGCTAGATGTGAATAGCACTGCCATCTGCAGGTACGACATCCAGCTCTCCGGCTCCTGCAAAGGCACCACTTCCATTGCAATGGGGCAGCAGGGACGGATGGAACCCCTCTGGTCCCATTTAGGCACTGAGGGCTCGCGTGACGCCCCAGCGAAAGCCACCGCACAGCCCGGGAAGCTGCCGCTCTCAGATCTGCCATCACCCCTCTCCAGACCAGGCTGTAGCTCTAAGTGGCTCGCTATTCGAATCTGAGGTCATGCCAAAGCTCTAAAGCAGATGTGGGATGTAGCGGAGATACTAAATAGTTTATGACAAAAACCCAAGAAGAGAGGACAGGGTGATTCCCCAACGCTGTCCTTCTGCAGCACTTTACGTGGCTCGACCTTTAGAAGTGATCTCTTTGGGGGAGGAAAAAAGTGATCTCTTTGAAGGAGGGAGGCTTACTAGCGTCCTTTTCATGATACATTTATTTACAAGCCTACTGTGTGCCTAGCATTGTGTGAGCGTTTTCATTTCATTTCCTAGGTGTGCAATAATGAACGGAACAGTTCTAGTCCCAAAGCTCATGGCTTTCAGCCTAGCAGAGGAGATAGACTTTAAACAACAAATAAATTATTCAAAAATGTAGTAAGGGCTGTGAAGGCAAGGAAGAGGTTGCTGAGAGAGATTGTAAAAGACA